ACATGTTTTGTGTTACAGATTACTGATAACCTAAAGTAAATGTAACCTAATCTAAAGGAATACTATACTAAACTCACGTAATCTGATTACTTTCTGTTACTTTTGGATTAGATTCCTTTTTAAAGTCATATAATTAAATTAAAATAGAAAACTAATTTCACATTTAGCAAAACAACCAAATCTAAGTGGAACAAGACATGGAAATATATAAAACATAAATAAGACAAATGTGCACTGTATAATTGGTTTGAGGTTATACACTCGTGAGCAGTGACAAGTTCAAAAACCAAAGCACAGCTCCCCCGAAAAGAAATAGTGATTTTAACAGAAAGTGAAAAATGTTGGTGCACTGAGACTAAAAGACAGGGAAACAAGTTAGTGCTGTAGAATTGTGTACAATGAGTTCAACATGCAAATGCAATATAGCTGAAACTGTACTGCTCTCCTGAGCTTTTGCTTTATTTGTTAAAAATCTGATGCTCGCCAAACCAAAGTCAAAACATTATTCTTCTTTTGAGAGCCCTCATCAACAATAACTATAAATGGAGGCCATTCTAAAAACTGTGGCCATCATTTGTGCTGCTGTATTTAATTGCATTTGTGTCACGACTTTGACGATTGTAATTTGTAGGCGCTCCCTCGGCTCCCAGTGGTTTGGCACAAAGCTAAGTGTTTTTCCACATGAAATCTAAGCAGGAACTGACTGTCTGAGTCACAAATAATTATAATTTACACATATTAACATTTTGCACCTATCATTAAAAACCGTAGAAGAAAGAAATCATACATCAAAATTGAAACTTCACTCAAAAAACTATGCTTTCTTTTCTTGTTTCAAAACCGTTAGTTAATGTTAGCTCACTTCACCATTCAAATCTGGTAAGTTAACATTAGCAAATGTTTGATTTAAAGCTACTCAAACTGTAGAATTTTATGGAGTAACAAATGAAAATAAAAGACTTTATTTCCAGATAAAATTACAGTTTGCTGATGTAGAATGTGGCGATATTGAAAACCAGAGTTCAACAAATGATTAAAAAATCTTCAGTAAATTGCTGCAGATCTCAGTTCTGCCAACAAAATATATACTTGCTAAAAATTATATATATTTGATGAATAAAACATTGTGAACTTCTGCTGGGGAGGGCAGCAGGACCCTCCTCCCCCCTTCTTCTTCCCCAAATTAAGAACTCTTCAAATCTACCCAACTCATGTGAAAAATGTATCATTAAAACAGTGAATTTCGACAAAAGGCAATGAGTTTGTTTGTGGTTTGAATGTAATCCTGCTGGTAATCACCCTGTTTTTATAACGTACCTGTAATCTGGTTACCGTCCTTTTTACTGTATGTAACAGAATATGGTTACTTTTTTTGGATTCTGGTTACATAATGCTGTTACATGTATTCCGTTTGTACACAGCCTTGTATACTAAATCTAGTTAAACAGGGCTAATTAAGGTCTTATTGTAGTTATACTAACAGTTGGTCAGCATCCTTCAACAATATCCATAATATGCTCAGAAAAGCATATAGTGACATAATTCACCGCAGTAGCAATAAAATATTGTTATATTGCCCACCCTTCTGTTTTCTCTCTTCCTCCATCCCAGGCGTCTGATAATTCACATAACAAAACTGGGCAGTTAATGCTCACCTCCCAGAGTGTTCAGCTGTCCAGTGACATTTCGTGAGCAGCAACTCGAAAAGATGGCTGGTGGGTGGTTTCACATGTCTTATAGCAAGCATGTGATAGCTCTCATCAGGCTGGTGGTAGCATTGTGTAATTGATAGATTAGGCCATTTCAGTTTCCACATTTAGGGGGCCACAGCAGGGTCTGACCTTGCCCAAAATTGCCCCCCTTTACATCCCCAATGGAACTACCAGTCAGAGAGCTGCCTCATACGACTTACTCCTCTCCCTCTCTCTCTCTTGCTTGCCCTCTCTACTTTTACTGCCAGCTTCTCAGCAAGGTGGGAGCTCTCCAGTAAAGATCAGACAGTTGAGTGCATGTAGGTCTGTTGTATGACAGAGAGAAAGACAGAAAGAGGCAGAGAGGCAGATAGAGATTCTGTGCTTGTGATTTTGTGCTCTGGTGGGAGGCAGTGGCGGTGTCAGCTTGCCGGGAGGAACGCAGTGCCTCCGTAAACAGAGCTGCTGGAGTTCTGAGAGGGCCGTCTGCCACAGAGCCTCTCCAGGGACTAGGCAGTACACACCATTTCACACACATACACACACACACGCGTGCAGGCTCAGATGGGAAGCGCTGAGCACTGAGCCCCTTCCAGCTTGTCTCCTGGCTCCAGCGACCCTCCTCTAAGCCTGCCGTGGGTCTACTTTTCCATGAAACGATTTGCTTACAATTACCCTCTCTGGCCTGGTCAATAACTCTGGTTGCTGTCCTTGGTGCTGATTTGGACAGACAAGAACCAGAAAGCATCCAGACATCCTGGCAACATGAACTCGTTGTGTTTTGACCTGTCTCACACTACAGTACTCACATGTTTGTTTTCATACCTAGTGAGGACTGGAGCTATACATATGTCTGATATGTATTACGTACCCACTATATGTCCAAAACTTTGCAGACACATGCTCATTCAACATTTCTTCTGATGTCAAGGTTATTGACAGACAGGTTGTCCTTCCTTTGCTGTTTACACACATCTTCTTCTAGTAAATCTGCGACAGACCCTAGCACTGAAGTGGAAGCAGGAGCAAACATGGTAAAAGCTTGTGAGCTGAAGTTTTATCTTTGCCAAACAAAAGAATCTAATAAAGGTGCAGTTCAGTAAAAGTCATGGTTGTACTATACCGTTATCTTTAATTCTGCCACAAAACTGTAATTAATCTAGCAAAAAGGAACAGATTTATGAATATCACATTAACTTTACCATTCAAGGCCATGTTGCCTGATGCCCAATTATTCCAGAGCTGAGATGTAACAGTATTTTCCCCAATACCTGAAGCCGTGTTATCAGATGTCTGAAACTTCAGGCTGTGTTCTAAGAATGTCATGAAATGTACCCCGTGTGATTGCCATGATATCTGCTTTCCAAAACAGCACCTAGTGTTCCCCCAAGCTTGTTCAACTAGTGCAGCTCAACAGTCGTATTTCTAGAAAAGTCTATCTATGCTACAATAAATGTGGTTTTAATGTAGGATATATCCAAGATGTTTAAAAGCTCAGTTATATTCGCATGGTGGAATACTTATCGTATCTTGCTATGGTTGCATGAAATAAATCAACAAATGAAAATTTTATCCGGTGGTAAATGAGTTTTTACCATCACTGGAGGCTGTTACTGCAGTAAATAAGTGAACCGTCACAGGCCATAGGACTAATTAGAGAGGTCATGTACTGATGTTGGACAATTAGTTCTGACTCATAAACGCCACTCCAACTCATCCCAAAGGTACTGGATGGAACTCCATCACTCCAGTGAACACAGTTCTGCTCCACACCCCAACGCTGTGGGGGCTTTATACTCCTTTACCTGACACCGCATTGGGTATGGTGACTTTAGGCTCATGCGTAGCTGCCCAGAGCGTCCCAATCTCTTGGCAGTGCTTTTCTATGGAGATTATACCAGCTGTGTGTGCATCAATGAACACAGTAATGGGTGCATTTTGAAGTAGCTGAATTGAAAGCGGTGCCAAGATAGTTTTGGACATTCAGTGTTTTTCAGTTCCCATAAGTGATAATATTTTTGTTATCCTTTTAGTTTTCCTATAACGTCAAGAAATATTATCAAAATGCACACACACACCCCCCCAGAACCAAGAGGAAGTCACAGGCATCATCTAATGTGTTGGAAGAGGTCACTAGAAGGCGTCTGCTTATGAATGAGGTAAACATCTCATTCTCTGATGGAAAAAGAGAAATAAAAAAGAGAGAAGAATCGCAGCCAAGTGCCACACCTCTGCACCCTCTGATAAGCAAATAATATTATCATGCCCCAGTAGACAATCCTGCTCAAATATGGTTTTGGTAATGGGATCTGGCCCAAAAGTGTCAGAACTGAGCTGTTTCACCCACAGCCTAATCACGGCTGAAGTGCTGAAGCTCCATCATTAGACCGTGTCCTCTACTTTCAAGCCATTTAAAAAAAGGAGCGCTCGCTAATTGTCTGATTTAAACCACCCACTCAGGAAGACCACAGGCGAGGGGGAGAGCTAATCCTTATCTCTTCTGAAGTATCAAAGTGTTTCGGTCCTCCGTCCTCACCTAGCAACAGTGGGGGCCGGCCTGAGCGAGGCGCCTCATTTTTCCACCAGCGCAATACTGGACTCCTATACTCCTATCGGAGTGCTGTGTGAAGCTACAGTTTCACTGAAATAGAGACAATGTGAGCTCAAGATGTATATTTGCAGAGCGTATACTGTTATGGCATTCACAGCATATAAAGCAGTGAAAGTTCACTTTAAGTGGGTTGAAAATAGAACGGCAGCACAGCTCAGAAATGATAACACAGAAGAAATGAGAGACGAGAGGTAGTGTGGACTAGTAGATCTGAAAAAAAGAGGTTCAGGAGATGTCAATATAAGGGCAATGCATCCTCTAGCCTAGTCGATTTGAGAGGTGTTTAACAAACAAGACATAGGTGAGTCCAATGATATCAGAACCAACAGAAACGTGTGCATCAGTGAAAAATATGGATGTAATGTATGTAAAGTTGCAGTAGGTAACCTGCATGAACACTTACAGTGCAAATTTCATCATCATCCTAACAGACAAGCACACACATGCACACAAAGTTCATTTTTTCCCTCAGAAACCTGTTGCTCATGCCGACCTGCAGCCTGCTTGTTAGCTTAGCTTTATTTTGAAAAATACTCACCACAGGTTTCAGTTAGAGTGTTCGCAGCAGAGAAAACAAGTCTGAATGTGCTAAACGCAAAACGCACTCCCCAGTAATCTACTTATAGCTGCTCAAAGCCACCGGTAACCCCCCCTCGCCATGTTTTCCTCCTCCAAACCTTGTGGAGAAACTTCCCTACCTGTCGTCCGCCTGCCAGTCCCCAAGCAACAGGTCTCGGAACCGGTACCGCGGCGGCAGCGGCAGCACCTCCTTCTCCAGCTCCACCATGGCTGCCCCCCCCAAAAAAAGCCCCAAAAACCTCTGGTTTCGAGCTGGAAAGCGTGTGGGAGAAATAAAAAAACACCCTAAACGCCTTTTCCCTTCCCTCCCCCCAAAAGAAGATCTTTCACTGCTCCACTCGTGAATCCATTTTTGTTCCAGGCGCTGCTGTGATCACCGCGGCTCTGCTCCCAGCGCTCCCCGCCTGGGGGAGGGGGGGTGGGCTCCGGCGTGACATGCGCGAGTGGCCGCGTGGTGCAACCGCTTCCCACCCCAGCACAGAACTACCCCACCTTCCACTGAACGTGCGTGTGGCCACTAAGACACGGTGTCTGAACTTGCTTCTCATTCCTGAGTCGAATAGTTGCCTCGTCCTCACGCCCCCCTCCCCCCAACCCCCTCCCCTGTCCAACGCACTGAAACTGACGTTAGCGTACAGCTTGTTTAGCATTAGCTGAAGATCAGTGATGATGCTAATTTTCTGATGTTGCTCATTTTTAATAGTACCCGCACGTTAGCATTACACAAATGCGTAAAATGACGAAGCCCCTTATGCAGGTGAGCACACACACACACACACACACACACACACGCCTAAACGTGTAGCTTAAAAAGCCTTTTTTTTCATCTGTCTCACTTTTGATGGACTGAGTGGGCGAAAAAGCACATTTGTAGGGATTTGGGTGGAGCTGTGGTTCCTTAAGCTGCGTCCAAAACCGCATACTACTACACTCCACTAATGAATGGACTTCTATTGGTGGTGCACTACTATTTATTATGGTAGTATGCGCTTTTGGACGCAGCCTTAGTTTTTATTCTGAAGTCTGCAGTTCACCATCAGATAGAACCACCTGTTGATGTGGAGAACATCAGCACAGCTGACTGCATATTAGACTTACAGAGACTTACAGCTGAGCACGGCTGAAGGAGGTCCTCATTCTTATAGTGAAATCTGCTCAATGACTTAAGAAGGCATTCATACAGCCCTGGGAAACCTGTTGCATTTCTCGGCAAGATTCTCCCTCGGAAGGACCAGCTGTTTAACTTATCCCGCGTATGGCTTTAACTAGACGAAAAGAGCAAAGATTTCGTGATTAAAGCCACTTGTGTTGTCAAATTTGACAGCAGAAGCTGATTTCCATCACGCAGATAGATACAAGCACATTCAGCCCGTCATGCCCAGCGTCGCTCTGGACACGTCGCCCTCTAGCGGTCGATCTGCGTGTTTGTAAGGGTATCGAGCTCACTACACTGGAGAATCAGCAGCGCCACGTATAACACTAATGTGGGGAATATCTTGCTAATTTTCAGGCTGTAATTAAAGGGCATTCCGGTCTAAAAGTAGCACTGAATATGTTTTTGGTCCTGTTAATGTTCTGTTATGCAGTGTTGCATTGCCTCAGTCTCATTAGCTGTACAGAATTCCCAGTTTTGTGTCCTTTTTCTGTTTTCTGCACTCGGTGTGTAAATAAGACAAAACAGTTGGGAATTCAGCTCCCTGCCAAGCACTTATGTAGAGGTTAACAAACACAGACAGTGGTAACATTAGATATCTGGCTCCCTTCTGTATTAGCCAGCTAGCGGGAAAAGTAAAATCAAATCAGTCTCCCCGTGGATATCCAGCACTTGGAGTTTCTCAAAAGCTCCTTCCACCTTTAAGATGCATCATCAAAAGGGGGTTTTCCTGGTCTTTAAATTGAAAAAGTTAACTCTCAGGACAATTGTGGCACCACTTCAGGAGGTGAGTAGACATGATGACAACAAATGCCCCTGTAAGAGTTTCAAATGTACCAAACTTGGTCAAATGCTGAGCACAATATGACAAGAGCAGCTTTTCACAGAAAAGGGTTGGACTGAAATTTCTGGACTCCAGACCAGGGGCACAGGCACCCAGATAGATCACAAGCCCCCCCAAACAAATGGGGAAGAATGATTATTAAGCCGATTTTTCGAAGACAATGAAGTATGATTTTTCTGTGAATGCTGTCATTTTATTATAGCCAATCAAATCATTACATTTTCTACCAAGCTCCGCCTTCTTTTCCTCAGCTGCTTAGCAACTACTGCTATCCACCATTGCTTTAAGCATTCAGTTTGTAATCAGCTGCCCGTGTTTGAATTTGAAGCTCCAGTTGTGATTAAAATATGTAACTGGGAGTGTTTAAAAATGCAGTTCTGTCTCACTGTTGACCCGTCCAAAGCCAGAAACAAATTTAAAAAACGTTGTCATTGTTTTTTGTGAATTTGGAACAGTGCTCTTTTACTACAAAGGCTAACATGGGCTATGTGAAAATGTAAAAGCAGACATCTAACATTAATGCGTCATCACAGGTAAAACATAAATAGTCCATAAACCTTGCTTTTGCCTATGATTATTAGGTTTAGGTTTTTAAGTTTCTTCTGTTCTTTTTCCTTGTCTATTCACCTCTCAGCTGTCGGATTTATCTCAATCATGCCGTCTTCTTTAGGCCAATCTATTGTGGCAGTATGCTTTAGCCTAAGATGATTAATGATAGGTTCAGGTTTCTAAGTTTGCTGTGTTTTTTCCCTCATCTTTATTCATTTCAGTTGTCTGATTTGAAGTGTTGGTTGGGTTAATGTGAATCCTGCATTCCAATTGACTGCTTTAGTTTTGTATCACCATAAAGTGGAAGTGTAGGTAGGGTGATGACTGTATGGCTGTCTGCTATAGGCTATAGTCTGATGTTATGACTTTGCGGGACATTAGCGTGTTTGAAAATTGTATCTATAAAGCTGGCTTTTTCACAGGCCTACCCAAAACTTTATTTCGGCCTACACCACTGCTCCAGACTCATCAGTCTTATGCTCTGTCATGTTCATTGAAGCGCCCAATATGATCACGTCATATCTGCAAGCCTGCAGAGTTACAAGCATGTAAAGTGTTGAAAACAGTTTTGTGATTTTACACAAAAAAGTGAAAATTAAAGTCAACCTTAAATTTACATTGACATTTTTACCTTTTTAGTTCATGTTTCTGGTCATTTTAAGCATCTTTTATCAAAGTATAGTGACTTTTAGGTGTTTGCCCATCTTTTTTTCTAACTGCTCCTATTTTGTTTATGTTGTCATGTCTGTTCTGCAATGAATTTAGGGTCCTTCCAACAACAAAGTGCAAAATGCACCGAAAGTGGATTCTCTGAAAATTTGCAAAGAGTCTGCATTATTCCCCTGGCAGAGTAAATAAATGGAAGCGCTAGACAGTCAGCCCCACGGCCCTGTGGATTTTTCTGGTAGCGCACATGTTAAGTGTGCATGTCTGGGGAAGGCTGCAGATTTACTGCCTGTCATATAGTCCACACTTGCAGTTTGTGGTTTTGCTCAAGTGCACTTTAATGTGATGTATTTCAACATTTATGCATGTTACAGCTGTGAGCATGCAGATGCTTATCCTATATTTGGCTGACAGGTACTTACCTTTTTCCTCAATATTTCTGAAACAATGTTATGTTGCTATTGAAAAAACATCATGCTGCATGCGGTAACAGTATGCAACCAACAGTGGCATGCAACAGTGTAAATGACACTGGTGATAGTGGTGTTTCTGCCTGTTTGCTTTATTTTGTACTAAATTCAGCGGACAGGTAGTTGCGCTCACAATGCAGTCAAAAGCAGATAGATGTCAATTCAGCTTCAGAATCTAATTGTCTCAGTTATCATGTTGAAGTGCAGGCTATTGCCAAAACATCTCACCAATAGCATATTTTTCTTACAGGCCCACATCCTGCATTTTCCTTGTATTTTATTTTGTATCCACTAAAAGCATTTGTGTGTCTTTATGCACCAAAAATGGTCATATTTCATTTTTGCATCATCATTTTTCAACCTCTTTTTATCCGCTTAGGAATAACCAGGCTGTTTTTCTTACTGTGTCTTTAAGGACTGATATATGATAAATGAGCACTGTTCTGATTGGCTGCTTTGTATTGGACCTTATTCAAAAAGCGCTCGGAGCTGAACACTGCTTAGAACCTCAATATGAATGGGCAGGGCTGAAGTGCTGTATAAGTGGATATATATTTGTGTCAGAGTTATGTAGCAACTACATCCAGTTTGCCTTCAACTGTTTAACACTAACATGTGAACATGCCATTAGAACATGTGTCAGGCTCCAGGCCTCACAGACCAAAGCTCTGCAGACTTCAGCACACTGCCTCATTAAACACATTAGCAAGGCCTTAGAGCATTAGTTCAGCACCAAAATGGGAAAGCTTGTAATGCTCAACAGGGCATCGATTTTATGGAGAAAGTCCCATCCTTAAATAAAAGCCCCCCTCAGTCATGGAGATCTGTGCAAGCGCTGTAGCCAGAACAACCTGAAAAAAGTGTTTTTGTGCATTATTTTAGCCAAACATTACAAATGCCAAACGTTACAAACTATTCATGATATTTTTGTCTGATTTTACCAGTGATTTTAGAACAAAGATGTATTTGAAACCATCATTTTGCCTTTAGTTTTGAGCTTATAGGTCTCTCCTTATTCAAAGAGATTGAAGCCTGGGACCATATTAGAGAAACTTCCTATCTTTTGTCCTAAGTTAATAACTGACGGGGTCAAGATAAGATTTTTCACAAATTTGTATTACGGGAGCAAATCTTATCATATTTTAAAATAAATACATTATAAAAATACACTTACCAAATACCTTTTTGGCCATTTTCATACATTCCAAAAATAGATTTGATAAATACATTTAGAATATTTTTCCCATATGGGTCCTAAACTCAGTTCTGACTGAAGTTGTCATGGTGACACACCTGATTCAGCTCATCAGCTAATTAGCAAGGCCTTAGAGCATTAGTTCAGCACCAGTTTGACATGCTTGCAATAGAATGTCACCAATGGAGTAACCTGTGTGATATATATACTTGGCCCAATACCACTTCAATGAAGTATACAGGAAAGGGTGCGGTCTGTGCTTTTGTGTGTTTGAGAACTGGGACCCATTTGAAAGAATATAAACATTCACACAAGTACACAAAACCGCCAGTGCAGGAAAGCAGGAAGTGAGTGTGCTGAGGGTACTGCAGCATCCCCAGATTTCAGGACTGCAATTGCTACTACTACTACTACTACTAATAATAATAATAATAAAATGTTGTATTTTATAACAATTTGAGCGTGGTAAAGACTTGTGTGCTTGTTTTAGAGTGAAGTTCATGTTT